TGTTATATATATAGCATATATTATTGTGAACCATCCAATTGTGTGATTAACTAATATTACATAAGTACTATAGTTACATTTGTATGTTTTTGGTGTAAGGGAAGTAATTCCAATTGTAACGTCAGGCATGTTCTCCCTTGAAGGGAACTCTTTAATTTGGAAGAAAATAAAGTGAAGATCACGAAAAGGAACGGTTGTGTGTGTTAATATTCTGCCAAGCGAGTCCCCATTACAGACAATTAACGCAACCCGTTACAGGATAACTAGTTATCTTTCAAACAGACAACAGGCGGTTTTTATCAATGATTCTCTTTCTTCCTTTAAGGCCATAAAAGCTGGTGTTCCTCAAGGTTCTGTTATTGGTCCTCTTTTCTTCCTTATATATACATAAATGATGTTTCCTGTGATCTTTCCTCACTCTCTAGACTTTTTGCTGATGATACCACTCTTTCTTATTCGTCCCAAGACTTAAACACAATTTCATCCAATGCAAAAACTGATCTGATAAAACTTGAAGTTTGGTCCAAAGAATAGCTGATGTCTTTTAACCCTACCAAAACTGAGGCCATAGTCATCTCAAATCGGCAACTTCCATTCATCCCTGCATTCACATTTAATAATACCCCCATTCAAATAACTAACCAACATAAGCACTTAGGTGTTATTCTTACTAACGACTGTAAATGGAATGTTCATGTTGAATATATAGCAACCCTTCGTAAACTAAAACTTATTTAAAAAGACTATAACTATATCTTACTTATGTTCGACCACTACTGGAATATGCATGTGAAGTATGGGACAACTGCGGTGAAACAAATGCCATGTTACACTAGCAAAAAATCATCTAGAAGCTGCAAGAATAGTCACAGGGCTGCCCACAAGGAAACCGGATGGTTACCCGTTTCGAAAAGAAGGGATGCTCGGAAACTTTCCTTGTTTTATTCTATAGTAAATTACATGGCACCTAAATTTCTTACTGACTTATTACCAATGTATATTGGAAATATAGCTCCGTATAATTTGCGAAATGCACTTTTACTGCAGGAACAGCACATCCGTTTACAACTATCAACACATTATTTCTTTCCTTCCACATTAAACTTCTGGAACAACTTGAACAAAACTGTAGAAAACTCAACCTTACTAAATTCTTTCAAGTCTAAAGTAAAAAAAAAGTCTATGATAGTAAATAATTTGTTTAGCAAGCATTTCGTAAACTATGGACCGAGAAAATTAAATATACATAATTGTCGTCTTAGAAATCGAGCTAGCTCATTAAATTATGATCTTTTCAGAGCAAATCTAGTCGGTTCAGCTGTTTTAGGCTGTTGAAAGCTGTTGATATACAGGTAAAGTGTTGGATGTATGCTAGGTGAGATTTGGTGTCAGTTAGAGAACAATAGGATTTAATTACAGGTAAACTATAGTCTGTACTATAAAGTGTCTTACCATGTGAATATGAACGTATACATAGGATTGATTTTTGGTGTAAAATTTTATCTATTTATAAAATTGTTTGCACTTCATCTATTATAGTCTTCATATTAATAATAGGGAATATCAGATTAAATGTCCTAACTTTACATATTATTACCATACAATACAATTTGTTAATTTTTATTATTATTATTCCGTCTATACCACATGCCTACGGTGCTATTAACCAAAACTTTATGACGGTATATGGTACGAATTGTTTTCTTCAATTTTATCTTACGAAGTATATTCCTGTACTTCTTTGCATTCATTGAGACTGGAAGAAAAAGAAATGTTCCTTCAGAACAAAGACATTGTACAGGGATGTACCTCCACAGACATGAAAGATGAATTTCGCTTTCTGTTAATTTGTAGTAAATTTCAAAATCTAAGAGTGTGGTTTTCCGACTATTCAGTTGTCAAGTGTCAAAAATAGTAAACAGCTATGTATATAAAGGAAGTTTATCTTTGAAACTATCAGAACCTCTTAGTTGATTATATTGTGTATTATGAACACCATCTCTATGCATCGTTTTTTGTACCACATCATGTACCACATATAATGAGCCAATAGCCCAAGATTTGAATAAATGTTGACAATATTGACATTTGTGATATTATGATAAGTGAAAATTATAATTATTTTTCCTATTTACAGTGTATGTCCACACAAAACCAGCTTGAGATTGAAATTTTGCAGACATAACTATAAAACAAAGGAAATATTAAAAACAACATTCAGTCAACTGTTATTGTATCAGTTGATTTATAGACAATGCATTACAGAATATTAAACAATCTTTGCTATTAAGATTAGTTAATGAATCTTTACTTGATCAACAATAATTGAAGATTTTAATAACATGCAGGCGGCTAGTACTGTACCTGTTATAATATCTGTAAAATCGTTATTATTTTCAGGTTGAATAAATGTATCCATTTTATTTGTTTTCATCTACTACCACATGTCATTATAATTCTTTACAAAGAAAATGGAATATTTCTCTGATTAAAGTGGACATACGTTCTTAATTATAATATGTATTACAATACCATCTACATCATTTTGAAACAGACTATAACCAAATTGTGATCAGGTGTGAAAATTGAAATGCATGCTAGGTGAGACTAGGTATTTTAGAAATGTATGCTAGATGAGACTAAACCCCCTGTGTAATACGTCCAGTTAGAGAGAATAACACGATTCGTATTCAATATATAACATGTTTAATTATAACCGTATACTTTATACGTATCAATTAAGAAATATTTGAATCGGTCAATGCAATATGTTTGCACAGTATTATTGTCTCCCGTATAAGTATTTGTTGAAATCGATGATGTATCCCAATCAATAAATAAGAAGTCATTTTAAAAGTTATATCGCGATCAAAATATAATTTATTTAATTTTTGCAAGGTTCAATAATAATACATTAACGATACGCTATGTTAAGTTTACTGAAACGTGTTAACGGCATTGGAGTTCGGGTTGTGTATAGATAATTAAACTGTTAGTCTTTGCATTTTTATAATATATAGGAACACCTGTGGCTTAACCATACAGGTACGTACTAACTGAAAGACGTTACCTACCTATATTACACATGTGCCTGCTGGTTATAGCACAACAATAAATGTTTTAGAAGAAGGGTTTTATAGAAGTATCAAGGACGGGTACACAAACAATTATATAAGTCAGGGTAACTCGCCTGTAATCCCCCCGCTCAAGCATGTACGAACTAGCTTTATATACTGTACCATAATAGGTATTAAATACATTATTGGCCTATTCATCCTCTTCAGATCTGGAGTCGGGACAGGTAAGCTGTCGGTTATTAGTGAAAAACGGTAATACGTTTGCTTCTTTATTAGTTTTTTAGGATGGTAGGTGTTTTGTGAGACTACAGCCTGTACCAATACACGGCTCGTGTTCGGCGGTTCACCATTGTTATCTCAGGACAGACGATTTGCATTTTGTGAGCCTAATTACCTATATAAACTAATATACCTTCAATGAACATATATGTACAGGTGTTATTGGAATGAAACAATCGTCGGATCACAACCCGGTGTAGAACCCGTGTCAATTGTGTTACGAGTGGCACTTAACAACACACGGATACTGTATAGCAGTGTTGGGTTTAGGCTGGCGGATCGTCTACTCGGAAACCTTTTGGAGATGTTTGCACTTGTACGTATACATAATTTAGTGAGAGTTTTTATTAACTCGTGGTGGAGATATATATAGGACCGGTAGTTCGAGAAGGGGAATACGTATCGGTGTGAATAAGGCAGACGTGGAGATAGCCAAGTATGGCTGAAATTAATGAATATGTGGGGATTATTGCGCCACTGGAGACAGACAGCCGGACAGACAATCGGACGAACAGACACAGGTGTAAACATCACCCGAAGAAAAAAATAAGGTTTGTTTGTGAATCGTGTGGTGGGGAGAAAATATGCAAGAAATGTTTAAAATCTACGCACAAAGATCATCAGACCAGTGATGTGTCTCGTTCAAACAAAAAACACCGCCAAGCGGGAACGAAACACAGCTTAAACGGATTAATTGAAATTATTGACGATGATTCGGGAAAACCTGTGGATGTGGACAGAGATGAGAATGAAGATACCGCATTGATAGACTTACAGAAGAAATCCCAGACGACGATAGAGGACATTGATGCTAAAGTAAAACAATTCGCGAAGGTCAGGAGAGATTTAAAACTGGCCACCAACGTAGAGGTGGAAAAGGTAAGAGCCAGGGCTTTCGTCCTGAAACAGCAGGTTGATGAACTCACAATGAAGCTCGAGAAAAGACTTAGAGACTTCAGAAAATCAAAAGACGAGATTATTAAAGAACATGAACGATCACTGAAGGAATACTCGAAAGTATTAAAAGACTATTGTACGAAATGTAAACCCACGCAGACTGATTCCTCGAGTGACTCTGGGCTACACATTGAGAAAAGCTTTGACATTCGACAGGAAATGGAGCAGTTTCTTCAGAAAGAACATCACATACACATCCCCGTGGCGACCATGGATGAGTTTGTTCCATTCACGACCACGCTGGACCACATTATGAAGGTATTTGGCGATATGGAATCACAGGAGAAGGTGGATGTTATTAACCGCAATCAAAATCGTATCGTGCCAACATGTATGGATTACACAGAAATTTCAGCTTTTCAATTTGAAGGCGAGGTTATGCGATCCATCTGTCCGACAGACGAGGGAAGTTCGTGGATCGTGCGCGAAACACACAATATGGTGTATACGGATATACAGCACGTGACAAACGACGGGGAAGTGGGAATGTCGAGTGTGTTCGATGCAGGTGTCCTTGACATTGCTTCCAACATGGCTGACCTTTCGCTTGTCTGCTGTACAGACAATACTGTCCGAAGATTGCTACCTGATGGTCAGACGTTCGTCCGGTTTCGAACCGAGGCCAGACCAGAAAGTCTCTGTTTCCAGTCCAACAATGACGTAGTGGTGTGTTTCTTTAAGAAAAAGAAAGTTGCTGTGTACAACTTAAAGGGGAGGCAACTTTTGTCTAGCACAGATGCAAAGTCAGAAGCGGTTTTTATAACACATCCGTTTAGAGTTCGGTCGAACCGCAAAAATAACGACATAGCTGTGCTCAATGCCAATCCGTATTCGTTGGTCGTGATGAGCAAAAACCTCAGCCTTAAGTTCATCTATAATGGCTCCACCTACTATCCCGAGGACATTCGAGATAGAGGTTGGCCTCAAGTGTCAACACCAAACATCCCGGCGGTGCTTCCGAACGACGTATGCTTTGACAACAGACACAACATCCTTCTCTGTGACGCCGTCAGTAAGTGTATTGTGACCATTGACCCCAACGGTGTTGTGATGAGAGCTGTTTGTCCTGATAATAATCTACCTTCGTCCCTGGCGTTAGATATAAACGGCTATTTGTGGGTCGGGTACCACAATGGACGGGTGAAGATAATTGAACATTGATATCAGTATTTTTACTTACGTCACAATCATTAAACCTTAGTTATTGACAATATGGCGGACCGTAGTAAGTGGAGAGAGTATTTTTTTAAAGTATTTCGAAATGTTCTCGATAGTTGAAGTGTTTGATTTTCAACTTATGGACTAAGCCTGTTAATTTAACACTATTGAAATCTTATTGCTAATTGAATTTTCTATATTTTCCAGATTAAGGATTCGTTCACGTAATCTTAATATCCTCTATTTCTTTTCTTTAGAAAAAATGCTATAATAATACAATACAAAATAACTGTTAATAAGGGAGATAACTCTGTATAACACCTTCTCATTGTTCTGTCCCCCGTTACTAAAACAGTCGCCTCCATGGAAGCAGATTGTGTTGTTAGTATTTTACAGTTACATATGTACTTCAGCAAGAATGACGATCTGTAATTCTATCAGGAATTTTATATGGTCGCTGCTTCTATTTACGATACAATGTAGTTGGGAAATATTGTGAGGTCGTTTTCAATAGTGATGACAGATTACCTCCCTTTAACGACGTGTTCCAATTCTATTTTATATACATCTGTTTAAGTGTGGAACGACCCCTTATTAGAGTATTTTTTAACCACCAATAACTGCTCAGGTGGAAAGAAATTGTATAAAACATTCATTTATAGTATGAGTTGTATGCTTTCCCAGAGGGACGGCCCTGTAGGTTGTGCAGTGTACAAATCATGCTTTCCCAGAGGGACGACCTGTAGGTTGTGTAGTGTACAAATCATGCTTTCCCAGAGGGACGACCTGTAGGTTGTGTAGTGTACAAATCATGCTTTCCCAGAGGGACGACCTGTAGGTTGTGTAGTGTACAAATCATGCTTTCCCAGAGGGACGACCTGTAGGTTGTGTAGTGTACAAATCATGCTTTCCCAGAGGGACGACCTGTAGGTTGTGTAGTGTACAAATCATGCTTTCCCAGAGGGACGACCTGTAGGTTGTGTAGTGTACAAATCATGCTTTCCCAGAGGGACGACCTGTAGGTTGTGTAGTGTACAAATCATGCTTTCCCAGAGGGACGACCTGTAGGTTGTGTAGTGTACAAATCATGCTTTCCCAGAGGGACGACCTGTAGGTTGTGTAGTGTACAAATCATGCTTTCCCAGAGGGACGACCTGTAGGTTGTGTAGTGTACAAATCATGCTTTCCCAGAGGGACGACCTGTAGGTTGTGTAGTGTACAAATCATGCTTTCCCAGAGGGACGACCTGTAGGTTGTGTAGTGTACAAATCATGCTTTCCCAGAGGGACGACCTGTAGGTTGTGTAGTGTACAAATCATGCTTTCCCAGAGGGACGACCTGTAGGTTGTGTAGTGTACAAATCATGCTTTCCCAGAGGGACGACCTGTAGGTTGTGTAGTGTACAAATCATGCTTTCCCAGAGGGACGACCTGTAGGTTGTGTAGTGTACAAATCATGCTTTCCCAGAGGGACGACCTGTAGGTTGTGTAGTGTACAAATCATGCTTTCCCAGAGGGACGACCTGTAGGTTGTGTAGTGTACAAATCATGCTTTCCCAGAGGGACGACCTGTAGGTTGTGTAGTGTACAAATCATGCTTTCCCAGAGGGACGACCTGTAGGTTGTGTAGTGTACAAATCATGCTTTCCCAGAGGGACGACCTGTAGGTTGTGTAGTGTACAAATCATGCTTTCCCAGAGGGACGACCTGTAGGTTGTGTAGTGTACAAATCATGCTTTCCCAGAGGGACGACCCTGTAGGTTGTGCAGTGTACAGATCGATTTGTAGGCAGTTCGATCTGGGCATGATTTCGGGTCAGTACGAAAACCAACCTGAGCTAATTATCGTAAACGATTAATTTTTTAATAGGATCATAGGTTAATAATTTACAGTTTAGTCTTTGTATTTTGACACACTTGTGTATGCATTTTTCTAATAAGATACACAAGCAAATACATATGTATTACACAGTAGAAAAAGGAAATAAATCGACTTTACATTTTTAGATGTAAGCAGTCATATATTATACATGAAAGGAGTACAATAGTTCCTATAAATGTGTATAACCCTAGCAATGTATATGCTATTCTTATCACTGTGGTCCGTTTTAACTTGACAGCTATTCGCGTGCAAGCGTGTGTCTACCCGACTCTAATGTAGTCAGGCCAATAGATACATTAATAAAATCATAATTAGATACATATACTGTCTGATGGTTTCTTTATTTTGACGATCAATATCACAATGTAAAGAGTAGATTCAGTATCAAAATGTATAGTGAAGACTCAACGTTACACAGTCCTAAAGTGTAGGTCCTCGACCCTGGATATATACATGTATTTATGCAGATGGTCTGGTTACCTTTTGCCAGGCATAGATTAGCCACCTATTCATGAAAGTTGGCTAATGTCATTTTTATGACCTCAAATTGCAAGAACCCTCACTGTAAGATACGCCGCTGTCCTTAGGTTAACTTAGGTCACAAAAATGACGCGTGTGGGCTACCTGAAGTCACCTGATTACCCTAGTTCACCCAACTTATTAGGAGTATCGGACTTTCTAAGGACACTTGGATCCATTAAGTTATCGGGCTATTTAAGGTCTACAAAATTGAGGTTTTCAATCAGTTTTTGGCAGCAGCAGAACACCGGGGTTCTTTAAGTCATTGATTTGACTTAGATAAGGTTATCAGGCGTCCTGACGACGTTATTGGACCGCTTTAAGTATCTTTGTAGCAATACTGCACAGTATATGAATAATAGAGGTAACCCGATGCAGTCACATTGCAAAGAGAGGACAGGTTACCCGAGGTAGCCACAGTAGATAAAGGAGACAGGTTACCTGAGGTAGCCACAGTAGATAAAAGAAAGAGGTGACCTGAGGTAGCCACAGTAGATAAAGGAAAGAGATGACCTGAGGTAACCACATGTAGTAGATAAAGGAAAGAGGTGACCTGAGGTAGCCACAGTATAAAGAGGAAAGAGGTGACCTGAGGTAGACACAGTATATAGAGGAAAGAGGTGACCTGAGGTACACACAGTATAAAGAGGAAAGAGGTGACCTGAGGTAGACACAGTATATAAAGGAAAGAGGTGACCTGAGGTAGACAAATGCAGTAGATAAAGGAAAGAAGTGACCTGAGGTAGACACAGTATAAAAAGGAAAGATATGACCTGAGGTAGCCACATGCAGTAGATAAAGGAAAGAGGTGACCTGAGGTAGCCACAGTATATAGAGGAAAGAGGTGACCTGAGGTAGCCACAGTATATAAAGGAAAGAAGTGACCTGAGGTAGACACGGTTGATAAAGGAAAGAGGTGACCTGAGGTAGACACATGCAGTAGATAAAGGAAAGAAGTGACCTGAGGTAGACACGGTTGATAAAGGAAAGAGGTGACCTGAGGTAGACACATGCAGTAGATAAAAAAAGAGGTGACCTGAGGTAGCCACAGTAGATAAAGGAAAGAGGTGACCTGAGGTAGCAACAGTAGATAAAGGAAAGAGGTGACATGAGGTAGACACATTAGAGAAAGGAAAGAGGTGACCTGAGGTAGACATAGTTGATAAAGGAAAGAGGTGACATGAGGTAGACACAGTAGAGAAAGGAAAGAGATGACCTGAGGTAGACACAGTAGATAAAGGAAAGAGGTGACATGAGGTAGCCACAGTATATAGAGGAAAGAGGTGATATGAGGTAGACACAGTAGATAGAGAAAAGATGTGACCTGAGGTTGACACAGTAGATAAAGGAAACAGGTGACCCGAGGTAACCACAGTAGATAAAGGAAAGTGGTGACCTGAGGTAGACACAGTAGAGAAAGGAAAGTGGTGACTGAGGTAGACACAGTAGATAAAGGAAAGTGGTGACTGAGGTAGATACAGTAGATAAAGGAAAGTGGTGACCTGAGGTAGACACAGTAGATAAAGGAAAGTGGTGACCTGAGGTAGACACATGCAGTAGATAAAGGAAAGAAGTGACCTGGGGTAGCCACAGTAGAAAAAGGAAAGAGGTGACCTGAGGTAGACACAGTAGATAAAGGAAAGTGGTGACCTGAGGTAGCCACATGCAGTAGATAAAGGAAAGAGGTGACTGAGGTAGATACAGTAGAGAAAGGAAAGTGGTGACTGAGGTAGATACAGTAGATAAAGGAAAGTGGTGACTGAGGTAGATACAGTAGATAAAGGAAAGAAGTGACCTGAGGTAGCCACAGTAGATAAAGGAAAGTGGTGACCTGAGGTAGACACATGCAGTAGATAAAGGAAAGAAGTGACCTGAGGTAGCCACAGTAGATAAAGGAAAGAGGTGACCTGAGGTAGACACAGTAGATAAAGGAAAGTGGTGACCTGAGGTAGCCACATGCAGTAGATAAAGGAAAGAGGTGACTGAGGTAGATACAGTAGAGAAAGGAAAGTGGTGACTGAGGTAGATACAGTAGATAAAGGAAAGTGGTGACTGAGGTAGATACAGTAGATAAAGGAAAGAGGTGACCTGAGGTAGACACAGTAGATAAAGGAAAGTGGTGACCTGAGGTAGCCACATGCAGTAGATAAAGGAAAGAGGTGACTGAGGTAGATACAGTAGAGAAAGGAAAGTGGTGACTGAGGTAGATACAGTAGATAAAGGAAAGTGGTGACTGAGGTAGATACAGTAGAGAAAGGAAAGAGGTGACCTGAGGTAGATACAGTAGAGAAAGGAAAGTGGTGACTGAGGTAGACACAGTAGATAAAGGAAAGAGGTGACCTGAGGTAGACACAATAGATAAAGAAAAGTGGTGACCTGAGGTAGCCACAGTAGATAAAGGAAAGAGGTGACCTGAGGTAGACACAGTAGATAAAGGAAAGTGGTGACCTGAGGTAGACACATGCAGTAGATAAAGGAAAGAAGTGACCTGAGGTAGCCACAGTAGATAAAGGAAAGAGGTGACCTGAGGTAGACACAGTAGATAAAGGAAAGTGGTGACCTGAGGTAGCCACAGTAGATAAAGGAAAGAGGTGACCTGAGGTAGACACAGTAGATAAAGGAAAGAGGTGACCTGAGGTAGACACAGTAGATAAAGGAAAGTGGTGACCTGAGGTAGCCACAGTAGATAAAGGAAAGAGGTGACCTGAGGTAGACACAGTAGATAAAGGAAAGTGGTGACCTGAGGTAGACACAGTAGATAAAGGAAAGAGGTGACCTGAGGTAGACACAGTAGATAAAGGAAAGAGGTGACCTGAGGTAGACACAGTAGATAAAGGAAAGTGGTGACCTGAGGTAGCCACAGTAGATAAAGGAAAGAGGTGACCTGAGGTAGACACAGTAGATAAAGGAAAGTGGTGACCTGAGGTAGACACAGTAGATAAAGGAAAGAGGTGACCTGAGGTAGACACAGTAGATAAAGGAAAGAGGTGACCTGAGGTAGACACAGTAGATAAAGGAAAGAGGTGACCTGAGGTAGACACAGTAGATAAAGGAAAGAGGTGACCTGAGGTAGACACAGTAGATAAAGGAAAGTGGTGACCTGAGGTAGCCACAGTAGATAAAGGAAAGAGGTGACCTGAGGTAGACACAGTAGATAAAGGAAAGTGGTGACCTGAGGTAGCCACAGTAGATAAAGGAAAGAGGTGACCTGAGGTAGACACAGTAGATAAAGGAAAGTGGTGACCTGAGGTAGCCACAGTAGATAAAGGAAAGAGGTGACCTGAGGTAGACACAGTAGATAAAGGAAAGTGGTGACCTGAGGTAGCCACAGTAGATAAAGGAAAGAGGTGACCTGAGGTAGACACAGTAGATAAAGGAAAGTGGTGACCTGAGGTAGCCACAGTAGATAAAGGAAAGAGGTGACCTGAGGTAGACACAGTAGATAAAGGAAAGTGGTGACCTGAGGTAGCCACAGTAGATAAAGGAAAGAGGTGACCTGAGGTAGCCACAGTAGATAAAGGAAAGTGGTGACCTGAGGTAGCCACAGTAGATAAAGGAAAGTGGTGACCTGAGGTAGCCACAGTACATAAAGGAAAGAGGTGACCTGAGGTAGACACAGTAGATAAAGGAAAGTGGTGACCTGAGGTAGCCACATTAGATAAAGGAAAGAGTTGACCTGAGGTAGCCACAGTACATAAAGGAAAGAGGTGACCTGAGGTAGACACAGTAGATAAAGGAAAGTGGTGACCTGAGGTAGCCACAGTAGATAAAGGAAAGAGGTGACCTGAGGTAGCCACAGTAGATAAAGGAAAGTGGTGACCTGAGGTAGCCACAGTAGATAAAGGAAAGTGGTGACCTGAGGTAGCCACAGTAGATAAAGGAAAGTGGTGACCTGAGGTAGCCACAGTACATAAAGGAAAGAGGTGACCTGAGGTAGACACAGTAGATAAAGGAAAGTGGTGACCTGAGGTAGCCACAGTAGATAAAGGAAAGAGTTGACCTGAGGTAGCCACAGTAGATAAAGGAAAGAGGTGACCTGAGGTAGACACAGTAGATAAAGGAAAGTGGTGACCTGAGGTAGCCACAGTAGATAAAGGAAAGAGGTGACCTGAGGTAGCCACAGTAGATAAAGGAAAGTGGTGACCTGAGGTAGCCACAGTAGATAAAGGAAAGTGGTGACCTGAGGTAGCCACAGTAGATAAAGGAAAGTGGTGACCTGAGGTAGCCACAGTAGATAAAGGAAAGTGGTGACCTGAGGTAGCCACAGTAGATAAAGGAAAGTGGTGACCTGAGGTAGCCACAGTAGATAAAGGAAAGTGGTGACCTGAGGTAGCCACAGTACATAAAGGAAAGAGGTGACCTGAGGTAGACACAGTAGATAAAGGAAAGTGGTGACCTGAGGTAGCCACAGTAGATAAAGGAAAGAGGTGACCTGAGGTAGCCACAGTAGATAAAGGAAAGTGGTGACCTGAGGTAGCCACAGTAGATAAAGGAAAGTGGTGACCTGAGGTAGCCACAGTAGATAAAGGAAAGTGGTGACCTGAGGTAGCCACAGTAGATAAAGGAAAGAGGTGACCTGAGGTAGCCACAGTAGATAAAGGAAAGAGGTGACCTGAGGTAGACACAGTAGATAAAGGAAAGTGGTGACCTGAGGTAGCCACAGTAGATAAAGGAAAGAGGTGACCTGAGGTAGACACAGTAGATAAAGGAAAGTGGTGACCTGAGGTAGCCACAGTAGATAAAGGAAAGAGGTGACCTGAGGTAGACACAGTAGATAAAGGAAAGTGGTGACCTGAGGTA